TTCGCCCCTACCCCCTGACCCGGACTGCTGCGAAAGTCTAATCTGTGATGCCACTGTCATCCCCATCGCCGACATGCCATCTGAGCAACGCAAGGACCCTTGGGTTGCTTCGATTCTAGACATCCTGGCTGGGCGGACGGCTCCCCCCTCCCCCCTTCTCGCACGTTGCGTCGGCAAGTCGAGCACTTCGCCACTCGCGACGACGTGCTGTACCGACGCAACTACGCACCCGGTGGACCTCAGTGGCTACTCGTGATTCCACGGCATCTGCGATCCGAAATTTGTTCCACGTTTCATGACGACCCCCAATGTGGCCACGCAGGTTTCCTGAAGACTTATTTTCGCATACGTCTCCGACATCACTGTCGTGGCATGTACCGTTTTATACGACAATACGTTCGGGCCTGCTCGACGTGCCAGAGACGAAAAACTCCCCCTTATCACGCCAGCGGTACCTTGTTACCCTTACCATGCCCATCCCGACCATTCGACCGCGTCGGCATCGATATCTATGGTCCCCTTCCCAACACCGCTGACGGTAACCGCTGGATCATAGTTGCCGTCGACCATCTCACGCGGTATGCCGAAACTTCATCCCTTCCCTCGTCTACAGCAAAAGACGTTGCGACTTCCATTCTTCACAACATCGTATTACGTCATGGAGCACCTCGGGAGTTACTGAGCGATCGTGGTCGCGTATTCTTGTCAGACGTCATCACAGCATTGCTGCGTGAGTGCCACGTCGTTCACCACACTACAAGCGCCTATCATCCCCAGACCAATGCAATGACAGAGCGCTTCAACCGCACCCTTGGTGACATGCTGTCTATGTATATCTCGTCAGACCACTCCAATTGGGACCGAGTGCTCCCGTTTATCACGTTCGCCTATAACACCGCCATTCAAAGCACTACTGGGTTCTCTCCTTTTTTCCTCCTTTACGGACGCGAACCTTCTTGCACTATGGACACCATTCTTTCGTACAAACCTGACTCCTCAGAGTCCACGACTTTGTCTCAAGCCGCTACATACGCTGAAGAATGCCGCCAACTGGCAAGATCATTCACAACCCAAGACCAAGGACGCCAAAAGCACCACCATGACGCATCAAATAACACTACTTCCTACGATTCAGGTTCACTCGTCTGGCTGCATGTCCCTTCTGCTACACCTGGCCTTTCTACCAAGTTGGTCCCCAAGTATCACGGCCCATATCGTGTGCTACAAAAAACGCCACCAGTGAATTACCTCATTGAGCCACTGGAACTATCTTCTGACCAACGTCGTCGTGGCCAGGAAATTGTCCACGTCTCGAGACTTAAGCCCTGCTACGACCCTCCCGTGTTTACTTGTCCATAGGTCGACAGGATGGCTCCTTATTTCGCGGGGAGTAATTGTAATGAATTAATGAATCTGAATAACGGACGCTCTGCTGGCAATGACGAAGACGATGATTATCGGTGGTTGTTGTAGTAGCTCGCGCACGCCGCTCGCCATTAGCCAGACCTGCCTGATAAAGCACGTTTTGCCAAGCTGCGTCTGAACCTTTTTCGACGTACAACACCTCTATTTTAATATATATATATATATATATATATATATATATATATATATATATATATATATATATATATATATATATATATATATAAAGTGAGGTGGTGATTTCGCGGCTTTTTACCGTAGTGCTAAATTGAACTTCCCCTTTTCTTTGCGTAAAACACGTGTAAAGATGCAAAATACTTCCACGGCTTGTAAGAACACTGAATTATTGGGGTGTACTTCTACGCACACGAAACGTTCAGTTGCTGCCATGACACTTGCCATGCATGGCTGCCTGTTACAGTTTAGTTTTTTTGTTTCTATCTTTGTGTTTGTGGAATCAGCGACAACTTACAACGAGTAGCAATATCCGGACAATTTTGCTCCAGTACTGAAAAGCAATGCCATTGTGATCAACATGTCATCCCACACTAGTTTTTACCTCTCCGTTAAGAGCAAAAAAACGCGGAAAAACGGAGAAAGTGTTCGCTTCAAACGTTCTCAGTATTGTGTATTCTTTGTTTGCTCGTTTAAGTTCCTGTTAACTCAATATTTATAGCAGGAAGTTTCAGATTAGATGGAATATAAGCAGCTTGCATTCTGGCTTTTATAAGCGTAATCCTGAAAATTTAACATTTGGACACCAAGAACTGGCGCGATAATAGTTATGTGGTCTGGCGTGTTGTAAAGTAAGTCCAGAATTTGTTGTTGAAGAAGCAGCGCTGCCCATAAAATTTACAAACAAATAACCCTTGCCTTGTTGATTGCGCAGAATCTATGCATTCTTTTAATAAGTATGCGCTGTTGCACCGCCCTTCTTGCACACACAATATGCAGTATACGAAGGCAGAGAAAAAAAAGGAGGGGGGGGGGTGCTGAAACCAATGTATTACAGCGGTCAACGATCACATGTTTGGACGGACGAAGCCTCGCGCTTGGAATAGCGCGAGTGATATGTCATAAACGGGTTACATCTAATCATGCGCGGCCCCAATGGCGTGCCGGTTTTGCAGTTTGCGTCCTCGTTTATCGCCGCGCGCGCGACAACTGCTTTGGCCGTCAGAAGCGCTATAGCTGTGTGGCACTAAAACTCCAACAAACTTTATTCAACTGATAAGCAAGGGCAAAGCTGCTGTTTGGGGAATGAGACCACGAAAGGAAAACAAGCATACAGTATAGCTTGCTTCTGGTGCCGAGAGTGGTTCGCTTCGTTTTAGTTTTTTCTAGTTTTTTTTATATTATGCTAAACCGTTAAAAGCGCTTTAGACGGTCAAAGTGGCTGTTGCGTTCGCGGTGATAAAAAGAGATAAAAACGCAGGAGAGAAGCGCAAATTGGGCCGCGCGTGCTGAAATGTGGCTAATTTACGATGGCAGATGTCACTAATGCAGTTACGAGTGTGGTGATCGATAGTTCTGGACATGTGTGTTGACGATATTATAATGCGATATAGTATATATGCGAGGTTTTCGGTGGGCTGGCTTGGGTGGATGTTGCAAATCAACTGCCTTTTCATAATCTTGGTGGTTCAGTAGTTCGAGAAACAACGTGTGCTCGATAGAAGTGCCTGTGGCCGCCAAGGCACCATATCTTCTTTTAGATGCGGAGCATCTTATACTCGCGCCTTGTAGTGCGCCGTCCGCGCCGTCCGCGCCGTCCGCACCGCTTCTCGAACATTCGACAGCTGACGCGCGCGCATGCGCCGTCGCGCCGTCGCCCACTCTTCCACCATCTGTGCATCCCTTCCTCCTCTACACACCGCGCGCGCTTCACTCCTCCACCATCTGTGCACCCTTCCTCCTCTACACACCGCGCTCGACATCTACAATTCTCCTGATTCTCCAGTGGACGCGCATGTGGCGTCGCGCTTCGAGAACATTCAACAGCTGACAGTGCATGCGCCGTCGTGCTGTATATATACTCAAGGTCGGCGCTCGCTCGCTCAGTTGCCGCTCGTCGGTTGGTTTGTACGGCGCGTCGACGTCCAAGGTCGCGGTGAAATGAATTCCAACGAATCCACAAACACAATGATCGACGTCCCTTCGACCAGCGCCGCCCTTTCGCATACGTGTGTACGTGTTCACTCATTTAACACCCCCTCCTACAACCACGTTAACCAATTTAGCCATCGACCCAAGTAAGTCGCAATTTAACACCCCATTTCACAACCACGTTAACCAATTTAGCCATCGACCCAAGTAAGTCGCACTTTAACACCCCGTTAACCAATTATATGCTCCGCATCCTCCTCAGTGTTCCCCCGAGGGAAGCTGCGGGCAATTTTTTGTACTACGTAGGCTGTGAGCTCTTCTGGAAGCAACAGAAAGGCAAGTTTCTCATTTTTCGAACGACAAAATAGCCATCATTTTTTCAAAAAGCAAGCCTTGAAAAGTGTTCATCTCGCTGAAGGGTTAGGTGCACAAATACGGACGCAAGAAGGAACCAACACCAAATCACCGTTCGGCAACTGAAGTTTATTTCCTTGTGTTTTTACTGGCACGTCTTTTCGTCAACGTCACGAAATCTATTGCTCGTATAACATGATTTCGGCCATTGATGACTACACAGAATATTGAACGTGTACATTCGATGAACGAGAGCGATGCTTGATGTCGACCGTCGAGCTTTTTGTGGTCGAGAAATACCCGCAATGGCGGCTAGCCTGTGTTTACCCTACAGTTTAACTGACGTAAAGGAATAACAGTAGGACAGCTTGATGTTTTCTCTCTATGCTAACCACCATGGTTGATAGATTTAATTTATGGGGTTTAGGGTCCCAAAACCATGATATGATGATGAGAGATATAGTTAAGCGCTTGGGAAATTCCGACCAGATGGGCTTCTCCAATGTGCACGTAAATTTAAGGACACAGGCCTGGAGTATTCTCGAGTCAATCGAAAGTGCGCCCGCCACGGCCATGTTTCGACCTCGTGAACTGCGGGTCAGCAATCGAGCACCAAGATCACAAGACAATCACATGGTTAACCACCATGTGCTTCCTGCATGCACCCCAATTTTGTGAATAACATTGCACACCATTGCTAAGTAAAATGATAACGCGCCTTAGAGTGCACAAATCAAGTAAGTTTGTGGGAGTGAGGCTTCTTTAGCGTTGCGGAATGACACACCGTTATATAGGGTGTTTAAGTGGTAATGCCGTAAGGCTTCAGCTACGGTATTAGCATTACATCTTAAACGTTCAGGGGTGATAAAAGACGTTTGCAGGCTAAGCTGCGCCACGACTACACGAGACAACACAGGATTACATGAGTTGTTTATTCCCTGAACGAGAACTGGCGACTCGCACCATTGTCTAAAATGTGCCAATGACGCCCACTCTCACATTTCTCAGTTAAGAACACGTGTTAAGCCTTCCGATCTGCTGCGACGTTCCTACACACACACACGATTCAGGCAAAGAAAATCACCATTAATGAAACAGTCGCGCATGAGGCCCACCTATGAGCGCTTCGTAGCCAGACTTGGACGACTTTCGTAGTAGATCCAGGCTGCGCGGCGTGCCATCGGTGTCGTAAACTGTCTGAGGTTCTCGCAGGCTCAGCCGCCGGACGCGACAACGGGGTCCCGTCTTGGGCAGCCATGGCAGCAGTTCGCATGTCTGCACCCTGAACGCTTGTGGTTGCGGGAGGTGCCGGTACTGCCAACGCAGGTGTGCCGTCCGGTAGCTGGCCTGGGCCTCCAGATGCTCCACGTCTAGAAAAAAATGGACAGACAAGTTTTTTATACGTGGTCGGTTGTCCATAAGTACCAACAACACTGTAAAAAGTCCCGAAGTAAGAAGCAACCCTGCAGTGGGCAGCCGTTGTGCATGACATCAAATAAGAGAGCCCGCAAGAACGCGGTGCTTGTGTGTGAGAGAGAAATAAACGTTGATTTCGAAACAGTGTTCTGAGTGAGGCCCGGTATTTCCCTAAGGTGGGACTCTGGCTTCGACTGCCGTCTTGGCCCCGGCGACGAGTTGTCGCTTATCTACCAGGTCCTCGAGAACGAGCTTGGTATGTATGTATGTATGTATGTATGCATGCATGCATGCATGTATGTATGTATGTATGTATGTATGTATGTATGTATGTATGTATGTATGTATGTATGTATGTATGTATGTATGTATGTATGTATGTATGTATGTATGTATGTATGTATGTATGTATGTATGTATGTATGTATGTATGTATGTATGTATGTATGTATGTATGTATGTATGTATGTATGTATGTATGTATGTATGTATGTATGTATGTATGTATGTATGTATGTATGTATGTATGTATGTATGTATGTTCTTTGTTCAGTCCATGCGTCCGTCTAGTGAACACTCCAAGTACCGCCATCTCGCATCTTTTCGTCATATTCGAGAACCGGCATCTAGCGGACATTCCAAGGACTAAAACGAGAGGTGGCTACTACATACATGAGACGCACGACCCACGCCTTAGGGTGCTTCGTTCCTAAAAATTACAACTCGGCCACTTTCCCCCCGCATGCTCCGCATAATCTCGGTTGTGTAGATACGTGAAATCTGCCGAATTGCTTTGTCATGAATACCGATGCCTAGCCGAGGCCTCGGTTATCCCACGATTATTCCAGATATTCTAACCTGTGATTTAAATAAATAGAAAAAAATCAGCGCTTCATTGAGCGGTAACAACTGTAGGATTATTATTTCCAGAATGTTTGAATTGATAAAAAAATGAAGGTTTTCGATAGTGCTCGTAGATATGCAGTCATTCAATGCAACTGTATTAAAAAAAGTATTTTAGGACAGCATGTCTGTGTGAAATATAAGGTTTTCACACCAAAGATTAAAACGGAAATAAGGAACTCATAGTTACGGCCCAACAAAACCTGCTCTTTGGTGGGGTTTCAGTTGACCGAAGGCAATACCACTTTTCTCTATGGCACTTTGTATTTACATATTTCCTATTGTATGATGCGAGTAGCATACAAAACAGTCAAAAGAAAATGTGGACTCTACATGAATGCGCTGCATAGTTTAAGCAAAATGTGTGCGTGCAGTACTTTATCGATTCATTCTTTGCCGTACTTGTCTCGATTGCGTTATTCTTGACCAGTGCATTACGTAAGAGGATCCATCCGAGAATTTCCGCCTACGTATCCCGACCGTACGGGAACATAGCCTGCGGCTATCCTCGCTTAATGCTAATGTTAGTAACATAATGATTAACGGTGCTTGGGTCGTTTCCTGGAAGGAAGCTTACATGAAAGCTTCCCGAGAGGAAGCTTACGTGCACGCTTCTGTAATCCTGATTTATGGAACACTCGCGTTGCGCAAGGTTTAATTTAGTTTTCTTTAGTTTATTTTTACCACGTGCAGTTGTACAGTAATTGCCCCAGGTGGTCGAAATTTCCGGAGCCCTCCACTACGGCGTCTCTCATAATCATATGGTGGTTTTGGGACGTTAAACCTCACATATCAAACAATCAACAGTAAGTAGCTGGGACGGAGGAAGAAAGCTGTATAAAACAGTTTTTTTTTTGGTGAAGTACACTAATGACAGAGGCACTTGTTTTAATAGAGGGAATGAAAAGCAGGAACATTGGAGATGAACGCATCGGCAGTCGGAATCAACGACTGGTGCGGATCAGCTCCCATCGTTTAGGATCCATCGACGGACCACGAAATGGGAGCGTCGCGCGTAATACAATACAGGCCCACTTGCAAACGAGACGCCGCTTTCTTTTCTTTTTCTTTTTTTCCAGTGAGGCCAAGAACTGCTGTTAAAGATAACGTGGTAATTTATGAAAATTGGTGGTTCACGTGAGCCGAGAAAAAAAAACGTAAATTAGTTTATGAGAACGCTCTGTTTCGAGATAAGAACATTGCGTTCTCTCTTTCAGTTTTCATTCCAGAACGAACCCACCACGTCGCATTAGGAAGAGAAAACATGCCGCGGAGTGCCGGTCAGAGATTTCTGCTAATGCAGCCTTCAGATGACTAGAGTTGCTACAGAAACAATCGCATGATGATTTAAGGGAAAGGAAAGTATGGGCGTTCTATATCAATAACAAAAAAAAAAAACGCAGAGCTTTGGTGCTTTTTTGAGATTGTGAGACAGCGCAGCTAGAGACAAATCGAAGAATGGCCGAATGATGTTCTGACTGTCAAATATGATTTATAGTGCAAAATACAATACATAGTAAAAAGACAAAATAAAGGCAAACACAAGAAAAAAAAAAACGGGGGGCCATAGTGCCCGTGAAAAAGCCTCGCATTTCGTCAATGTGGATGACTTGCGGCGCTGCGCTGTTCAGAACGAGACCGAGGATTTTTTCTTCAAAGTGGCGATTCGATTCAAAATCGTGCATGACCTCTTTTTCTCGTTTCCCGTAGGTTTTCATAGGCATGCACATTGGGGCCGCCTTGCCGCGTCGGTCTAGTGGCTAAGGTACTCGGCTGCTGAGCCGTATGTCGCGGGATCTAATCTCGGCGGCGGCGGCGGCTGCATTTCCGATGGAGGTGGAGATGTTGTAGGCCCGTGTGCTTAGATTTTGGGTGCACGCTGAAGAACCCCAGGTGGTCGAAATTTCCGGAGCCCTCCACTACAGCGTCTCTCATAATCATATGGCGGTTTTGGGACGTTAAATCCCGCATATCAATAAATAATAAATAAATAAGTAAATAAATAAATAAATAAATACATCAATGAATCAATCAATCAAGCAGCTCTACTCACCATGTAACCACGGAGATCGGAACCTCTGCGCATGCGTGGAAGGGGTCCGGCTGCACACGTAGGCCAGGCCGAAGGCCAGGCTCAGCAGGCTTGGCCACATGGCTGGAGGGTGACGCTGCCTTTGCTGAAAATAGTCATCGGAAGCGGTCGTTGCAACATCGGAGGCGTATCTAAGCGCGTGCAATAACGAAACACCACTCCATGAAGTTATCAGCCCTTTGTAGCGATTACATAAGTCTAAGTTTGTGCATGGTGTATCCAGGAAGAAAAAAACACAATACGTAAAGCTAACGATCTCTCTGTGACATGCCTAAAGGTTTACTAAAAACCGACCAAAAATAGAAGAGAGAGAGAGAATGTATGAAACTTAAAAGATTATTGATGCTGCAGTATACTTATCCGTGTTACACATACGTATACTTAAAAAGTAAAAAAAATACTCGTGGTCTTGCTTGTGCATGTGGCAGTGCATATGGAGACAGACGTTCATTACGACGCATGCAGGTTATGGTGATGGGTTTATTCAGCACGCACTCAGTTTCCCACCATCACGAAGACAATTTGTTAATAAAAGCTGAGGTATAGTATATAAGATTCATATCAAAGCTGGCAACGTTGTGTGATTGTTAGCTGGGTCAATTACTGGATTGGAATTGATAGTGTATAACAGCAAATAGTCTACGCTGGTCCATATCAGCCGACACTTCCCATCATTCAGCCAGCCCTGGAGGCAATATGACTAGAATGTGGAGCTACAGTGTGACGAACTCGCATACCGTTGACGCACGAGGGAAAGAAAGCATAACTGATTAAAATTATGCAATTTAGTCTGTGTTATTTATGTAACATTAGCCAGCATGAGTCAACAATGAGCCAATATTAGCCGACACGGTCAACTTTGCCACTGAGAATCAAGAAATTTTGAACCATGATTAGCGTGCTTGCACGCTTATTTGCAGATGATCGCATGTTGTACCATGAGGTTGTTTGTCGAGAGGATCAGGAACATTTGAACACTAACCTTCTGAGCATTCATTCTTGGTGTCGAAAATGGGATAGGAAGTAAAATGAAACGGAAACATTATATATGTATATCACGAAAAAAAAAACAGTTGTTTTCTTACAGTCTTCCAGGTTATTCTCTAGTTGAGGTAAATGAATATAAATATTTGGGAGTGACCATAGCTAACAACCTCCTTTTCATGATTGTTTCAGCGCGCGAACGAAGGAAAAAGGACAGGGTAGACAGAAAGAGCGCTGTTTCTGTCTACCCTGTCCTTTTTCCTTTGTTCACGTGCTGAAACAATCTTGCAAATATGACTACGCACCAACTAGTCCAAGCTTCCACTCTTGTGGCTAACAACCTCATATGGAATTTTCATATCGCTAACATTGGTGCTTCTTTCCACAAACTTTGTGTTCTGCGACACAAACTAAAGCAGGCGCCCCCAGAAACCAAACTTCATGCATATAAAACACTAATTAGGCCAAAATTGGAATACGCATGCACCATCTGGGATCAACACACTATCCACAATATTGCAGCACTTGAGATGGTTCAACGCAAAGCTGTCAGATTTACTTTTTCTAAATTCTGTAAAACCGACTCACAAACAACAATCATACGTATTAATAGAATACAGACTTTGAAATTACGACGAAAAATACTTGTGCTTAAATTTTTTTCTTCTAAAAAACAACACGTTGTCCTTTCATTACAGTTTATATCTATGCCCGTCAACAGCAGAACAAACCAGACATCATCACTATGAAACCTTAACTCATCAAACAAGAGCTACCACTTTCAAATTTTCTTTTTTCCCTCGCACTATCAATGAATGGAACGCATTGCAATTATCATTGCTAAAATCAGTTGAGTCCATCTACAAAATTATCGATATGTAAACTTTTAATTGAGTTGTAAGTGTTTATTCGTGTTTTTTACCTTTTAAAATTTCGTATTTTTCCTTGTAATTTCATCGTTCCTGCCTGGGCCCTGTGGGCCTGCAGTATGTTGTGAATAAATAAAGAATAAACAATGAAAATGTTTAAGCTGTATACATAACGACTACCTCATCTACTCACATAACATGCACATGACGCTGTGATTTGCGCACACTATCACTGGTATCGTTTTGAAGAACGCATGTCTAAGTTTCCGTGCAAAAGCGAAGCATCAGAAGTTAAACTCACTAATTCAGCAGTGTCTCTCTTAGAGATTACACAGACCAGGCGAGTTCACCGCGGTATGAATTGATTTTTGTTTGACGCCAGAGGGCCTCATTCGTTAAGTGCTATAGATGCTAGTTCCCCACTCTCAGCTCGAGGGGACTCCCCCACAATGCTTGTTTGGAATAAATTAATAGTAATGTTTTCGATCCAGAGAGAATGAGGTTTTTCGCTGGTCCAAAGAAAATAATGTTCCGGATAAACTGTCAACACAATTAACCACCTTTAAATTGCTTTTTCTAAAAAAATAAACATATTAAAAGCATCATGTAGCTTGTGCTGAAGGACATGCTTCGAAGTTTTGCACAGAGGCGACAAAAGAAAAAAAAAGCAGCGGAAGTACAGCAGTTTCCCAATCGGTTACTGCTTTTCTGGAAACTCGGAAGGCCGTCGTCATAGTGCGCCGTATAATGAACGGGAACCCCATCCCCTGCGCAGAACTGTGGAGGTACCCTTCATTGAGAGAGGCAGTAACGGAACTGCGCTTTTTTCTTCCTTTTTCCTCTTTTCATAGCCACTTCGAAAGCGCTTTTACTGGACGCTGATTTGCCGCACAAGAATTAAACGGTAGCTGTGAAGGTTAGGTTAAGGCCTTCCGACACAAACAAGTCGCACTATTACAAACTGCACGTGGCGCTGTGAATCAGCTTCTAACTCATCTCGTCAGTGAGTTTGACTGGGGCTCATTTATTGACACATTTATTATAGAATGGAATTCAACAGACCCAACTTCGATGGGAGTGGCTTTTCATCTGACATTAGTTTTGGTGGCCCCGTTATAAATTAAAGAAATAGATGACCTACCTCCTAAGCTCGGAAAGAAGCACAGATTTTGCGTATCGCCCGGCAACATCCGGGAGTTCAAAGTGTGGTTATTGGTCGCGAAAGCGGCTAAAGAAGGCGGATGGCGAGAGAGGCTGGAGAAAGAGGTTCTAGAATCGGCTGCGGTAAACTTTTACGAGCTAAGAATGTTCGATAACTATCTTCTCCACGAAGAAGGTCGAGTGCCCACGCCACGAGTTTCGTAATGCCGGTTGCGTTCTGAACATCGGCACTAAGCCTTACTTCCTTCACTGGGCCTTGCAAAGACCCTTCCACATCGCATGTCAGCAGGCTCCTACAACAGTTAATCGGGAGTCAATTGCCCGTAGGCTTAAGTGTGCAAGGGCCATTCATAATCGACTGATTGTTATAGCCAACGGTGCGGTAACTAAAAGGCGATCCCTTAGCAGCCCACGTTTGGGATTTATATCAATTAGGGTCCATAAATAATTGTCGTGTTCGCATATACGTAATGGCACGTCGTAACGTTGATCGGCAACACTCAACTTATAACGCACATAAATACCATGGAATAGCTCCGAAAATTCATTTTAGTTTCTACGTATCTGTTGCCGTGGTTAGTGTCCATTAGAAAAAAAAAAAGCTGTTCCAATACTCAGGCCATGGCTCTGCCGTAACGCTATACCTTTAAAAGTGCGAGTGTGTTTACTAGCTCCAACCACACGTTAAAAATTTCCCAGTGCAACTTAAACGAGGTATACTTCGTTTAAGCTGCAGATTGTGGTGTAAAATGACAACAATCTGCAACATATATGTTGCAGATTGTTCTCGTCATGTTGAGAAACATAATTCTGACAGAATACTGCTACACATCTAGTTAGACAGTAAAAAAAAATGAGAGGCCTGGTTTTAGTTTCTCAGTCCTATTATCCGAAACTATCTTGAGCCATGACATAGCCACGTGCAACGAAAAACGCAGTCGCAGCATCAAATTGTTGAAGCGAAGAGAATTGACCTAGGTTCTATATAGAGCCACTTGCATGATTTCGCATCAAAAGGCTCCGTGCTCCAACAAAAGGTACTGTTTTACGACTGTTATACCGCAGGAGAACGATGGTATCAAAACCTAATAAGCGTTGCAGGGAATACTCTGGGAGCCTTGCTTACGTCCTAGTTTTGCTTAACGTGCCGGGTAAGAAAGTAGGGTGGTAGTTAAAGCTAGTTTGTACAGCACCAATGCCAAAGGAGGTGAAGCGCTAAACGTACGGCGTGGACAAGGGCGGACGAACGATGGGTGCTTTCTTGCACCTGAGGTTTATTGCGAGAACACACAAAGAATATATACATGAGGTGAATGGCGCTGAAGGCTATGCGTGCAATAACTGATAATGATAACAAATCAACCCTCCTACCCCGCCCCCCCCACCGAAAAAAGAAGTCGAAGATTAAGAGAATAGTAATATATACTTCGTGTTCTATCGCTATAAACTTCGATTGCGAGTAACTTTCTGTTGTTTGTCTTCCTTCGTCCACGTAGTTTCTTTAGCATTTCATACACTTCAGTAATGAGCAAATAGCTTTAAGAGCAGGACCTCAAAGATATATAATCATGAAACGGCTCGACATTTTTAGGTGAAAGGTAGGGATTTCTACTACAGCATTCTCAAAATTTCGCGAATAATTTGGGAGGTACTTCTCGTTTAAGGAATAGTTACACGTGGGACAGTTTTTTTTTTTGTAATAGAATAGCCCACTAAGTAGAGTGTTCATTTCAGAACACTCCACTTTCATTTCAGAACCACTGGCCTACTGGCGCCCAATGCTATGTAACGAAATAGTAACATTTGGAGCTTCCCGTGCCAAAACAACGATATGATTGCGGGGCACACCATAGTCAAGAGCGCCAAAAAATTCGACGGTTTATAGTGTTGTTTAACGTGCACTAACGTCGCACAGTACGCCAGCCTTCAGGGTTTCGCTTCTGTAAAAATGCGGTCGTTGCGGCTGTAATCGAGCCCACGTCCTTCTGTTCAGCAGCCGGGCTCGGTAACTGCTATAACACAGGGGAGGCTGATTTTATATACTATG